TATACGCACGTATATTATCGCAGGTAAAATAAAAAAAGGTAGGAGCATCGGTTTGTGCATTTGCAAGAGGAGCCGTCGGGCTAAAGAGGCTGATCTGAGCTCCCTCCGTCGCATCGCAGCTTGCCAATCTCCCTTAAATCATTGAGGGGACTTGATTTTATTGGTATGTGTATATGAACATATATATATATAATGTCTTGTACGTATATAATATATAAATATATATTGTGGATTTAGGGCTCTTCCCTAACTATTAGCTGCGGGGTATTGGCAGATGAAAGACTCTTGTCAGACAGCCCAAACAGCAATAATGCTTGGTAGCCACCGTGTCGCTAGGACTGGCTACCCTGAGCTAACCGCTTAACCCCTTAACCCAAGGCTAACCCTAACCCCAACCCTTAAACCAGAAGCCCACGATCTCCGTTCAGCGCAGCAGCGCGGCTTTAGGGCAGGCTCTTTTCAAGCACTAATTCGTGACGTCAGGCCCATAACCCCCCAAGGAACCCTCAACCCTTAACCCTAAACCCTAAACCCTTAACCCTACACCCTACACCTTAAACCTTAACCCCTAAACCCATACCAGAGACCTTTCGGGGATCTTGGGCCTCACAGGATCACCACTTTTTTGCTCCTTCTGCCTCAAAAGGTTTGGCGTTCCTTTAAGGGCCCTGCAACGGTTGGTATAGGGGCAGTATAACGGCATCTAGATTTCTATCGTTTCTGGTCGTCTGGGTAACATGAGTTTGGGAGATAGGGATAAGGGTTGTGAGTGAAGCCAGACGTGTAGATGGTGCAGCGCCCTGCAATGACCCTCAGCTTTATCCACCATGTGCTCACATAAATACAAGCAAGTACTTGTACATGTGCTAGCTTCACAGACAGACGAATCGACCATGTATCGGACATTCGTGCATGCCTCATGAAAACACAGAAGCGTCACCATGTATATTTACGTGGGCACAGACAGAGATGCAAATGAACACAGACATGCATACATACTCAGATACATATCTACGTACATACATACATACCTCTACACAGAAGCAAACATACATACATGCATACATACATACGTACATACGTACATAGTTTGCATACGTACATAGATACGTAGATACACAGGTACATAGGTGCATAGATACATTCGTGCATAGATGCAGAAGTACATAGGTAAGTAGATACATGGATACATACATACATGAATGCGTAGATGCACAGATGCATACATACAGACAGAGATGCAAGTGAACACATACATGCATACATACACACGTACATATCTATGTACTCACATACATACCTCTACAAAGAAGCAAACATACATACACACATACATACATACATACATACATATATACGTACATACATACATCGTTTGCATATTACATAGATACTTCGTTACATAGGTACATAGGTAGATGCACAGATGCATACATACAGACACGCATACACACACGCAGGCACACCCACAGACCTGTCTGCACCTACGTGCGGCTGTGAGGTGTGCGGGGTGCATGCATGCATAGATGCATGCACACCTACCTACTTGCCTCTCTAGCAACCTACACATACATACTCGCTCCAACAGTACTGCGTTTTGGGTATACAGATGCATCTTTGTGTGCATGGGTTCTTACAATTTCTGGTATGATGCGTGCATGCATGCGTGCACGTACCTAGACATGTAGGCACGGGTCTCTGTAAGCAGGTATGAGGTAGGTAGGTACGCAGGTACATGTGCATGTATGTACGTATGCACATATGTGTACGTATGTATGTACGTATGTATGTATGTATCTAGGTATGTACACAGGCGGATTTGGGTTTTTGCAGCAGATGTGCCCACCCATCTCCAACTCTCTATCCATCTTTCTGTCCCTGCAACTATCTTCTTAGCTGTCTATCGATCGACAAGCTATCCGATCGATGTAGCTGTCTGCCTGACACAGAATCTACGTGTCAGTGTCGACCGGTCTATCTATGCACACATACCATATGCACACGCATGTTCGACGCAATGCAGGGTGAATATTTGACAAAGTGTTGATTTGAAATACAGACCTACAGGTAGATAGAGATCTAGAGCATGAGTTGGAATGCCCAAGATGGAGGCTGCCAGGCATAGACGATCAGGTTAGATCAGGCATGCTTTCGATTCTGCAATTCGTGCGTCACCCGCTACATGCAGAGAAGCACACAAGTTGAGTTTGGCCATCTGCCTGTAACTTTGCTTGTGGAAGGCATAGGATCCCTCACACACACATATGTATGTATATATATATATATATATATATAAATATATATATATATATATATATATATATATATATCTATGTGTATGCATCTATATACAATCACGCTACATGTTCAGTACATGTTTTCGCTGTCTTGCGACGTGACGCCCTGTTTGCGCTCCTTCTTCTGCAGCAAGAGCTCTCCCGACCATTCCGCAGATGTTTCGGTTGCGCGTTCACTTGCCAAGCTAATCCAAACCTTGGAGGAAGAGCTGGCATATGTCACACATTGGGTGCTGCCCCTATTCATAATATAGATACACTAGGCCCTCAATAGTAGCGACTACCCTCAAGCCTAAGCCCTAAACCCCATTTCCTGAATCGTAATGTATGCGGGCAGTACCCAAGTCACACTTGAAGACCGGCAGCAAACAAAGAATTTTGCGCTAGGCCGTCCGGCCAGCTGGAAGGTCGCCTCTGATGATTCCGGAAGTGTTGGTACAAGGATAAACAAAAACATAAATAAGATATATATATATATATACAGATAGATAGACATTATTACTGTGATTATTGTTATTTCTACTATCATCGTTATTTCTTGTATGGTGACTATGTCTATGATTACTGCTGTTACTAGTATTATTGTTATTACCATGACTAGTGCTAGTGGCATTACTATTATTCTTTTCAGTGTTATTACTTCTATCATTGCCAGACATGCTGCTAGCAGCTAGCAGGTATTGCCACCCCTAATGCAGTTCATGCCACACTGCACAGCAACAAATACTTGTATTACTTACTGTCACTGCTGCTCTTATTGCTACTTCAACTTCTGCTTCTAGCTCTAATGGCTCTATTTCATATTTTACTACTACCGCTGCTACCACCACCACCACGACGACTACTACTATTACTACTACTACTACTACTACTACTACTACTACCACTACTACTACTATTACTACTACCATTACTACTACTACTGCTACTACTACTACTACTACTACTACCACTGCTACTACTACCACTACTGCTGCTGCTGCTGCTAGTACTACGACTATTATTATTATTATTACTACTACTACTACTACTACTACTACTACTACTGGTACTCCTGCTGCTACTAACTACCACTACTAACGCTACTACCACTACTTCCACTACTACCACTACTACTACCACTACTACCACTACTACGGCTACTACCACTACCACTACTACACTACTACTACTACTACTACTACTACCACTACTACGGCTACTACCACTACCACTACTACTGCTACTACCACTACTACTACCAGCACGACGACTACTACTACCACTACTACCACTACTACTACTACTACTACTACTACTACTACTACTACTACTACTGCTACTGCTACTGCTATTGCTACTGCTACTGCTGCTGCTACTGCTACTGCTCCTGCTACTGCTACTGCTCCTCCTGCTGTTCCTGCTGCTGCTGCTCCTGCTCCAGCTACGGCTACCGCTGCCGCTACCGCTACCGCCGCTGCCGCTACCGCTACCGCTACGCTACTGCTACTACTGTTGCTGCTGCTGCTGCTGCTGCTACGGATACTACTGCTGCAAAACCGCGACCACGACGACGACCACCCCTACAACCACCACCACCACCATCGGCACCGCTGCCACAGGGACCATTCCAACTACTGCTACTTGTTTGGCACTCCTGTTTCTTGCTGACGAAGTTGCTGTTGCTGTTCCTCCTCCATTGTCCTTGTTGCTATTCTTCTTTTTCTTCTGTTACAACTTAATGCGCGACTGTCGTTATCCTCTTGGTCGTCGTGCATGTTATGACTGTGCTTGCGGCCACTGCTGTGGCGATTGTTGTGAATGATGTCTTCGCGGTGTTATTCTTGCGTTTGTTCTCATCATTGTCCTTGCTGATCCTTCGTCTGTTTCGTCGTCCTAGCGCGCAGCAGCGCTTACTCCATGGTAGTTCCGTGGTTGTTTTGTCTAAACCCTAAACCCTAACCCTAAACCCTAAACCCTAAACCCTGGCCCGAGCCCTGCGTGTAGAAGATGTCGGGAAGGCAAGCCGGCTGACCGTCTGGGGCTCTTGTGGAGTTCAAAGAGCCCACAGGGGAGTTTCCGAAAATTAGGGGTGCGTTACTTTAGGGTCCTTATAATAAGGAGCCTACTATTTAGGGTGCTATATTGGGATCCCCTATTTTCGGAAATGCCCACAGCGTCCTGTCAGCGAGTCTAGGAGTCTAGGACCACGTTGCATCAGCAACTGCTGCGGAGGATGAAAGGAAACACACGGCAGCCTCCGAACCATGAGCCAGCTGCTCGTCAACTGCAGACCCTAAACCTCTATATAATCTCTGATCACTCTAATCTAAACCTAATTGCCCGCTGATGGCATCCAGGTTGAGGCATGCGATGTTCAGAGATTCCAGCTGTGGTTTGGGAGTTGGGAAACTTGCCCCGAGAGGTACCATGACATGATTTCCTGTCTTGTCTTCTGCAGTATTTCAGTTCCCATGAGACGTGGGTTTCTGTGCATTTAGTCTGGTCATTGCATGCGCTTGGCAACTAGAAACGGGATCCGGGCTCCAGGGAAACGTCAAGGATTCGGACTTGCGTAGGGAGCGACCCTCGAGTTCACCGACCTCCATACTTTACCTAGATTATCCTGATGACTCTAGGCATTTGCCCTGGCATCCTCTTCGGGGTGTGCTCACCTTGCGGATCGCGAGTGCCAGGGAGCAATGTAGACCGCCGGATCAAGCCATGTTATCTGCGCACGCAAGCCATGCTTGCCGTCCCCGGCTTTGAGTTCATCACTCCCATGGCTTTGCTGAGCTTCTGTGGAGTTGAGGTGCTGCCCTGGGATGTTGCCTCGCAAGTTGTTTCTTGCTGCTGCCAGCCTTGCGCCAGATGTTCTCTCCGGAGGCCGGGAGGTGATGTCAGAGGAGAAGTCCCATCTTCTCGTGTCCAGAGGTGCAGCCGCTGCTGCCCACCGCCGCAGTTATGTCGCTGTTCTGCTCTGGCAGTTCCCTGGAGGCAGGGTTTGGATCTTCGTAAGTCTCTGTCTCACGCAATTCAGGGACTTGATGAAAGTGGAGAGCTGTCAGGAAACCAGCGTCCTATGTTTCGAGTCCGTCCTCGGCACGTGGCTCCCTCGGTTCCTAAAAATGATCGAATCCGTGAGAGGACCATAGTAAACGTCATCACGAACGCGAGATGCGCAGGTGCTCATGGCAGAAGCCACAGAAAGCACAATGGGTCCCGGATAAAGAACGCAGTTGGTGCCCATGGACGGGCAAATCGAGTTACAGGCAGCATGCATATAATGAAACGTCCAGATGCATGCACAAAGCCATGCCAACGAGTATGCAGGCATGATTCGTGAAGGCAACACATGCAATTGGACATATTTTGCACACTCTTGTACGAGCCATGTACGTTCATACATACATACATACATACATACAAACATACATACATACATACATACATACATGCGTACATGCGTACATACATACATTGATACACGGATACATTACATTAACGCATTGATGCATACATGCATGCACACACATACATACACACATACATACATACGCACATACAGCTGTCAGTGCACGCATGCATGCATTCATGCATGCATGCATCGTTACATACATACCTGCAGCCATGCACTTATTCCTGCCTGCCTGCCTGCTTGCCTGCCTGCAGGTGTACGGTGTACGTACGTTCCTGCGTACACACATACATGAATCCATGCAGAAGTTACGGTAATCGTCAATGCCACCCATTTGCAGGCTGCTTGCAGTTGTGAATGCCGCTGCCAGCCGCAGCATCGCACTTCAGGAGAATGGATGAAGCCGACTGGGTGTTGACAAGTGCATTAACGGCTCACATCAGGTGCAGAGTTGATAAATCGCACAGACGGGGTTTCTGAACTGTTGTGTGCAGGACTCTGTGACTCTGAGGTGAATGCTTCGGAGCATGGGCACACGACGACTTTCTATAATGCGGTGTAATGTTGCCCACACCCAAAGCTTCACTTGGCGAGGAAGTGTCAGCCGTGCCTGGACAGACGGTCGTCGGCGCTTCCATTATTGCTTCCTCCATTGCTTTGGCAACGCTGGCCAGCGTTGAATCTGGGAATCCCTAAACCCTAAACCCTACATGGCCCTACATGACGCTTAACCCCGAAACCCCAAGCTGTGGCCATCAACTCGTCGACTGACGCTGGGAAGGGGTGACAGGCTTTGCACCCGACAAGAAATTGCGAATGCCACCCACAGGGAACCCTATTCTAACTATTAAGGCCCCTCTATAATAGACCTTGTAGTATCCCCTTATAGTATAGCCCTGATACAGAGCCCATAAAAGGAACCCTATTCTAACTATTGCAGTAAGGCCCCTATGTCATAGAGCCCTTATGGTATCCCTTATTATAGTAACCCTTTTATAGAGCCCTTTAAGGGAACCCTGTTCTAATCATTAAGGCCCCTATGTTACGAAGAGCCTGGCAGGTGATGCTGGCATGTCTGCTGCCCATCTCCGAGAACGCCAAGATGCGACTTCCCCGCAGTAGCACCAACGGGGGAACTCCAGGAGAGTAATCTAGGATCCTTATTGATTAGAATATGGTTTCGGGGACCGCAAAACTATATTCTTAATAACAAGAGGGAACTTCAGGAGAGTACTGTAGGGGCCGAAATAATTACCAATGCTATTATGGGGGTTCCTTATCATATTTATGGTCTAAATATCCCAAAGCCTGATTCTCATTATTATGAGGCCCCTATAGTAGCACCACCGTGGAACTCCAGGAGAATCCAGTAAGTATCGGGAGCCTGCCAGGACATGCTCAGCGGTCAGAGTCAGTAGGTTCGGGAATGCATATGTTGGCTGAACATAGGGGCCTTCATAATTAGAATAGGGTTTTGGGGCCCACTATACTATGTTCGTGATGAGGAGCCCCCCAAGCTAGTGTAAGTGCAAGCTGCACACCCTCTCTTTTCATTGTCTCCCCTTTGACTTGCGAGAAACTCTACAGCCTAAACCCTGTGAGGTACACAGTCGGCCTCACTGCCTACTTCACGATGGACTCTTTGAGAGTCTGTGAGGGTTCCGGGTGGAGAGGAGCATGACACCTCCTGGAGCTGCAGGACTGCTTCAGGAACTCTACCCTACCGATCATCTCCTTCTGTGTTGAGTACACCATGGTGAGCCTCTTGGGGCCGCTCGGCAGCCGGCAGCCGCTTCTTTCATCGCTAAAGTCTCCATTGTAGTTCCTTTTCTTGGTGTAACCAAGTATATAATTAGGATCCTATAAGGTAACCCCAAAGAGGAACTACAGATCCTATAAGCCTATAAGGTAACCCCAAAAAGGAACTACAGATCCTATAAGCCTATAAGGTAACCCCAAAAAGGAACTACAGATCCTATAAGCCTATAAGGTAACCCCAAAAAGGAACTACAGATCCTATAAGCCTATAAGGTAACCCCAAAAAGGAACTACAGATCCTATAAGCCTATAAGGTAACCCCAAAAAGGAACTACAGATCCTATAAGCCTATAAGGTAACCCCAAAAAGGAACTACAGATCCTATAAGCCTATAAGGTAACCCCAAAAAGGAACTACAGATCCTATAAGCCTATAAGGTAACCCCAAAAAGGAACTACAGATCCTATAAGCCTATAAGGTAACCCCAAAAAGGAACTACAGATCCTATAAGCCTATAAGGTAACCCCAAAAAGGAACTACAGATCCTATAAGCCTATAAGGTAACCCCAAAAAGGAACTACAGATCCTAAGCCTATATAAGGTAACCCCAAAAAGGATAAGGTAACCCCTATAAAAAGGAACTACAGATAACCCCAAAAAGGAACTAAGGAACTACAGATCCTATATAAGGTAACCCCAAAAAGGAACTACAGATCCTATAAGCCTATAAGGTAACCCCAAAAAGGAACTACAGATCCTATAAGCCTATAAGGTAACCCCAAAAAGGAACTACAGATCCTATAAGCCTATAAGGTAACCCCAAAAAGGAACTACAGATCCTATAAGCCTATAAGGTAACCCCAAAAAGGAACTACAGATCCTATAAGCCTATAAGGTAACCCCAAAAAGGAACTACAGATCCTATAAGCCTATAAGGTAACCCCAAAAAGGAACTACAGATCCTATAAGCCTATAAGGTAACCCCAAAAAGGAACTACAGATCCTATAAGCCTATAAGGTAACCCCAAAAAGGAACTACAGATCCTATAAGCCTATAAGGTAACCCCAAAAAGGAACTACAGATCCTATAAGCCTATAAGGTAACCCCAAAAAGGAACTACAGATCCTATAAGCCTATAAGGTAACCCCAAAAAGGAACTACAATGGAGACTATACTCTAAACCCTAAACCCCTTTAAAAGGAACCCTGAACCCCTTTAAAAGGAACCCTAAACCCCTTTAAAAGGAACCCTAAACCCCTTTAAAAGGAACCCTAAACCCCTTTAAAAGGAACCCTAAACCCCTTTAAAAGGAACCCTGAACCCCTTTAAAAGGAACCCTAAACCCCTTTAAAAGGAACCCTAAACCCCTTTAAAAGGAACCCTAAACCCCTTTAAAAGGAACCCTAAACCCCTTTAAAAGGAACCCTAAACCCCTTTAAAAGGAGACTCTAGGTCGATTTGTTTTGGGTCAAACGCATCCCTTTGTCAAGAGAGGTCCTCCTGCGCTCTCGTGGCCTACACGCTCTCCCTACCGGGTGCGGGAACTCAGAGAGCCCAATACCCCTTAATTAAGGAATGTAGCTTAAATCATAATATAAAGGCCTATATAATTAAAGCCATATTCCTTAGTTAAGGGGTATTGGGCTCTCTAGGAATTCGGACGAAACGGACGGAGAGGACAAGCAACCGTGGCCAGGCATTCAGGACCCCCGAGCAATGAAGAGCGCCGCTGCTGCTTTCAGCGATGTCGCAGACGGCTGTGCGGAGGCAAGCTTTCAGCAGCCTCATATCTGTAAAGGAACTTCTCGCGCTTCAGCGCAGGTCATCACCGAAGCCACGGTGGCCTTTCTGGGGACGGGTGCTCCCAGAAAGCAAAGAGTAGCAGACCTAAAACGGAGTCTGAAAGTGCTTCGTGAGGTGCTGGTGATGCCTGGCGGGCCATCGCGCAGCAGCGCCTACGTGAGCTTTGGGAGAGGCCGGTGTGAAGGATCAATCGGCTTTTTCGGGCTTAGATGTGTACCAAGCGATCGTGCAGTCATTCTTTCATGTCATAATGTTTGAGATTTCGAATGCACCCGGCAAATTGTCGTCATCACTTGCACTTCTTCTTTTCCTGCCACGCAATACGCTCGCCTGCGCCATGCAACATAATATGCCGCGAGATCTGCATGGTACAGTCTCAATCGACCTGTTAGATATTCTATTCTATACTATACGTACTATATTATTAGCCATACTCTATTATGTTATAGTAAAATATATGGTAAGGTCTTAAGCCGCCAGAGTTATTTAATACATTGCAACACGGGCTAGAAGATGAATCATGCCATGTTCATACGTGACTGCACATGATATGCGCTCGCTCCCTCTCGCTCTGCCTCCCTCCCCTCTTCATGTGTATGACGTCAGTATCATGCCGTACACATACATGCAGTGGCTTCTCGGTGCTTTTTCGGGCAGTCTGTAGCCAGTTGCTGGTCCACATACTGTGGAGTTGCTGCCGAGTTTTGTGATGGGTTTTCTTGTACTGTCGCATGGTGTGACAAAAGCTTGTAGCAACGACCTTCAAGGTGGTGCTTGTCTTGCTTAGGGTTGTGATATTGGTATCATCTTGCGTAAGATCCCTGAACATTCTGGCAACTCTCAGTGTGAACATGGCACAGAACAGTGCATTGCGGTGAAGGATGTTGTATTGTGATGTGTCATGTTGTGTCTTCTTGTCTTGCAGAGACTGCAACATGCCGAACGACTTGCATAATGCACACTGTGAAGAAGAAAAGAAGCGTCTTATCGAGACGAGTTATCTATCAGTCGCAGCTGTCTGTTATTGGTAACGTTTCATTGCAGTACAAGTTGTAGGTGCGTTTTGGGTATACGCGCTCGTCACAAGTTTTGTCTCAAGCAAGATTGGGTTGTTGTAGTAGCAGTATGCCTTTCACTTGTATGGTTCATGCTTTCGTGTGCATTCAGTACGGTTCCAGTTCCATACCGTGTTGTGCAATACCTGCTGTCACTGACATGCATACACACACACACACATATATATATATATATATACGATATGTACATGCATACAGACCTTTATTCATACTAAACATGAGCGGAGCATGTCGAAATACGGGCGCCCGTATTCCGACGTACCCTCTAGATAAAATCCACGCACGCGCCTACACAGACACCTGTGCAAAGCATTCTGCTGCCGTAATTTCGTCCGTTGGAGGATTGTCCTGCTTCTTGCATTAAGTTGTGTTGAGGTGTGTTTTGCTACACATACATACAAAACAGGAGGAAATACACACAGGCAGACAGACATATGCACAATTATCCCAGAGCGTCTTTCTCCAGCTTTTCAGGCTGGCGGAGGCTAAGGCCACGGCAGAGTACTGGCCGCTTGCCGCAGCACAGATGCTCCACCCCAGCGGGCGCCTGCGCCTGGCCAGGCCAACGGCAGGAAACTCAAGCAGATCTGCTGTTCTATGATTGAAAGTTGTATACGACCCGGACGAGCAGCACCGGGTGATGTGGTGACCATGTAGATCGATTTGGTATACCTTGATCCAATATGTGGTGACTCGTGGCAACTGCGTAGTATGCCATTGCATGCTTTTACATACGTGTGCATTGCGTTGCTTTGTATTGCATTGTATTGTAGAAGCAGGTAGCGCTTAAGATGCAAGCCCCTAAGACAGAATAGCGCAGCCCTCAAGCCCCTATAAACCCTAAACCCTGAAGCCCTAAAGCCCTAAGGCCACGATCCACCGTGTGTCAGGCGGCGACTGCATCAGGAAGCTGCTTTCGCATCTGCCGCAAGGCTCTCAGGGTGGCCGGAACTGAGACGAAGCACCATACTAATAATGGCAGTAGTAATACCAATTCTAATTGGATTAAGAATAGTAACATATGATGCTGATATCATGGTGTGAGCCAGAGCCATGGGTGTATACATAAAGGAATCCCTGGATGCTGCATAATGCCATATTTCTGGCATAGCCGAGCTGAAGAGAAAAGATGCTTTGAGAAGCTGCTCTGCACGAACCTTGGCCGCGAGACCAACCATATCCATGTCTCACTGTCCCATATAATATACTATACTATGATATTGTATTATACTATAGTATGGTAATAGTACAGTATAGTAATAGTATAGTATGGTATTGTCCTACATTGACCTTCATGAAACGAAGCTTCGACACACTCTACTTGGCAATTGCACCCTGGAAACAGCCTCTAGCCGAAGTGGAAGCCGGTCAGGCATCATGCAAAACAAAGCCGCCCCCAGCAACGTTTGTCGGTTGGACTTCATCATGCCGTAAGCTCTCCTTGAACTCGAACTACCTCTCGCCACATGCAGCAAGAAGACCTGCTTACACACGCATGAACCGTGGATCCATGACCCTTCGCCCTAAGCATCACACCTTAAACTCTACACCATCCACGCCTTAACATCCTGAGACCCACAGAAACTTGAAAACCCACATTCAGTCCGAAACCCGAACGCCATACAAGCCTGAACGCTACAAACCCGAAAGCCCTGACGCCTAAGACACTAAAGCCGTAAGACCCCAAGATTTTAACCAGACCGTTCTTCTGCAGTTCTTGTGCAGCCCGAGGAAGAAACGCTCGACATTTGCTGTTTGCTTTGCGAGCTGGCCGCGAGGTAGGGTTTAGGGTTTGGTTAAGGTTCTCGCCTTTTTGTCTTTGATTTGGAGTTGAGGGTTTCGAGGTTTTCACTTCAGGGCTTCGGGGTTTGGATTTGGTTTTGCGGGTTCCGGAGCCATGATTTCAAGGTAGTTTCGGGTGGATGCCCACGAGTGGGCGTTTCGGTTTTCGGGGTCCGGGTTTTGTCATGTTGGTTTGCTGTTGCATCAGGACTGCACAGACGGCTCTGGTTGTAAGATATGATGGTTAGCATTCCTGCGTCTTGGGACCTAGTCAATTCAAGCCACTAGCTCGCTGGCCCATGTGCGTATGAACAGCTGCTCGGTATGCACGCACAGCGAATGTATACATGTATATATGTTTATATACATATATGCACACACGTGCCACGTGTGCGTTTGTACATATCTGACATATCCTATGTACAATTACTTTTTGGTGCACCAAAAACGTTTACGAAGATCAAGTACACTTACTACGCCCTAAGGCTTAAACCCGAAACCCTGCACCCTAAACGCTGAACCCTAAACCCTAATCAGCCATTTTTTTATAAACTGAATCCGCAGGCCCCACGGTGCAGAAGCCGGCCTGGAAGCAGATTTAGCACCTCGGAAGTCGGTTTCCGTTGATTCAGTGTTCTGGATTTAGGGCAATTTAGGGTTTCGGGTTTAGGGTTTCGTGTTTTTTTTTGTTTTCCGGGTTTAGGGTTTCGCGTTTTGGGTTTCCGGCTTAGGGTTTCGTGTTTTGGGTTTCGGGTTTAGGGTTTCGGGTTCAGGGTTTAGGGTGCTGGGTTTAGGGTTGTCTAGCAAGTCAGGCTTCGCATAATCACAGGGAGAACGTGCGCTGCCGCCTGTCTTGTCTTGAGTAGAGCTGTGCGCGAATGATTGCCTTCCCTTGAGCTACTTGTAGTAAAGGACAGCGCAGCCAAGCAAGCCGTGAGGGCCGCACTGTTGAGCAGCTGATAACAACCCTGGTGCTTGTGTGTGCCGCTGTCGCTAGCTGAAAACAGACCAGCAGAAGTTTAAGACTGGTGCTTGCTATATGATACTTAAACGCGGCGTTGTCCATTATCTTTGCGAACACTGAGGTTCGAAGCGCTGCGGAGCCGGCCATCATGCGAGTTGCCGATGGAGCAGCGGCCGCTGCCATAGCTTGCACTGCTTTCACTGCGTGTTCGGGCTTGAGAAGCCCTCCACAGTGAGCATGAAGTCTTTCCTCGCGTCATGGCGTCAGCATGGTCAGGTAGTTCACGATTCCTGCCTTTGCGTGCCAAGCAAACTCGACGAGATGTTGGTGTGAAGCATGTCGCAATAGACGCTGTGATGGCAGTGGTTACTCTTTTGAACTGCAGATTGTTTTACTGAAGTCCGACCCTATATTACATGCACAGATTGGCTGAGGCGTTGCTGCGAGATTTCGGCCGCACCAACTTCCAACAGGCCAGTTTCGTCGTCGTCGTCACCACCACTATCAGCATCAGCATCATGGCCAACGTCATCACATTGTTGGCATCATACTGACCATGTTGTGACAGCGATTCTGATAGGAGCTAGAGCGGTCACCATCATGACGATCATCCTCGTTGCCATCTTGTCCAGCATCAGCACATCATGGCCATCAGCATTGTCCTCCTCCTCCTCCTCCTTCTCCTCTCCGTCATCTCACCTTCAGCGTCCTGATCACTCTGGGAGGATGTGAATGAAATCCCCCAGGGCCCAGATTTGCCTGGCATGTCCGTGTGTAGCTGAGGCTACATGAGCCCGCCACAATAAACCGAAGCACGTTGCCCGAAGGCCCCATCCTTGATAAGAGAAGCGTCCCTAAACCCTAAACTAAGCCCGAAGGAGAAACAGGCCTTCAAAAAAAAGCAGCCCTAAACCCTAGACCTTAAAGTCCATGCCGGCTGTTCTAAGGCAGGGCTCCAGACGACCGGTGCAGCTTGGGCGGCGAACGATGTGCACAGGAGCATCAAAACTGCCTTGCAGTCTTCACTTGGGTTTAGGGTTAGGGTGTTTGGATGCCGTGTAAAGTTAAGGACGTTGATATTTGATGTGTTTGGGTTGATGTTAGGCTTTAGGTGTAGAGCTTGTGGTCCTGAACTACGCACGGCTGTCCACGATGTATGACGTCAGGAAACGGCTCCGCGAGGCGCGTGCCGGGAACAAGAGGGTTGGTTTGTGAAGACTTGCAAACTCCAGATACGAGCCTGTCGTCACCAGATATTCATTAGAAAGTAGATCCCCGAAGTTGGGGCCCTATACTACTAAGGGTACTTTATCGGAACCCCCCATTAAGGGATATGACTAATTGCTGAGGCTCGAGATGTGTCCGTCCAAGGCTAGCCTGCAGATGCCATTGCTCAGACACACTGAGGCCGCAGAGACGGCTCTGAGGAACAGTGTGGAGCTCGGTCACATCCTCTCCCTATGGCTCCGGTTGCCAAAATAATAGGCTGCTGGGGAAAATATTACACGATTAGCAACCCAGTTACCCAAATATTGGGGTACTGACCTACATACTTTATGGTTAGCGACCTACTATTTAGGTAACTGGAGCCCTAGGATTTTGCATCCATCCTGCAACTTCCCTGTTCCTGGCAAGGTAGCGCGGCCGCGCAGGAGCGCAGATCAGTGATGTGAAGCGAGCATCTCATCTTCCCAGTATATGGTAATATGACATATTATGATACATAGACTCTAATACATACTGGAATATATACTATTACATATAAAAATATAGTATCATATAGGATAACATATACTTCACTATATTCTGTACTGATAGCCTCTGAAGGGCTTATATAATATCATATGCTATTATATATACTATGCTATATTCTGTACTATCATATCCTCGGAAGGAGCTGCTGCTTCTGAAGCAGTTCCAGAGCCGAAGTGACGCCTCCAAGCTCGAGCGAGGGGAGACGTGCCCCGACCGAACAGCGCTTTCTGGGTCCGACCCTACTTGGAGGTTCATGGGTACAGTAGTTATAAGTAGGTTTTAGGGTTTAGGAGGATCATGGGACTTGGTAAGTATGGCTATAAGTATCTTAATTGGGGTTATAAGTAGTTATTAGTAGAGTTACTTTAATTATGACCCTAGTTACTAAGTCCCATGATCCTTTAAGTAAACCCTGAACTCTGTACTTTGAGCACTTGTCAGGTTTGCAAGTGCGCGATCGGAGATGGCTTCGTTCCTTTTCCTCGTGTCGCGGCCTGCATTCATCATTCCTCAACTCATAGGAGGCCAAAACGGGTTTTAGCCTGTGGGGGTTTAGTTGGGATTAGGGTTCCCACAACAGGGTTCATATTAATTAAGGAATCCCTACTCTAAGAATCTTAAGCCCCCGTTTTGGCCTCCCATCATCAACTGTTATTGCTCTCAAACAAACTTTCTCGTCGTCCTGTCAAGCAGTGCCAAAGAGTTTGGACATACGGCCGACATGATTTATCTTTTCAGCCTCGGCTGTCAAAGTCCGGACAGGGACGGGTCGACGAACTACATGGGATTGAAGCCAATGCTTGTAATTAGGCTCCCTTATGAGCCAATCTACACACTTCAATTTTTGATCCTATCTGTCAGCAAGATGTTGATCTGTGCATTCCTCAGTTGCTGCTTGGACCGACCCGGAGAGCATTCGCAAGCACTGTGCCGTAAGAAACACCTGTGGGGCCGAGACGCTTCAAACGACTTTACGCTAAGGACTCGCACAACGTAGGCTCTCCGAAGTCCTTTCCCCTGCTGAAAAGCCCCTGTTCCTCCCTCTCTCTAAGCCCAGAAAGTCGGTCAGGTGCATGGCCTTGCCGCGGATTTGCTCAAGCGAGAAGGTTCCAGTGCGCAGCGGGCGGAGACCCTGCAGGAGATATCGATGATGCCCCGTGCCTCGAGGTGCACACGCGCGCGCATGCATATGTGTGTGTGTGTGTGTGTCTGTCTGTCTGTCTGTCTGTCTGTCTGTCTGTCTGTCTGTCTGTCTGTCTGTCTGTCTGTCTGTCTGTCTGTCTGTCTGTCTGTCTGTCTGTCTGTCCCTGTGTGTTTGTGGGGCTGTATTTCGGAAGCACGGAGCATGGGCCCCAGCTCAGGATTAGGGTCTGGCCTAAACGCCACAGATCCAGAGTTACATGAGCAACATGCGGCAGATTGGGTTGTAAGAGTTGTTGTAGGTCTTTGCTCCCAACTCAGTTGTTTTCACTGGGCATGCAAGAGCTTCGGACAACGTTGTCGCCATATCATATTCTACCAGCAGGAGAACATATGCCGGAGAGATGTAGACAAGCTGCTAAGATCCATTCGCCGCCGCATTGAGGAGATCCTTAAAGCTTAAGCCATTAGCATCTTGGACTCTAGGTCCCGCCGGCTACATCTCTAGAAGCGGGTGCTTCTGACCAGCATTTGCTGTGGGATCCTCTGCAGGGGATGGGGCAAGGCTTGGTACCCGATGTGAAACGAGTTTCTTCATCATCTCTAGTGATGGCAGAAGCAACAGCAGGAGGCGGAGCAGGAGAATTCGGCCTTGATACTGAAGTTAGTTTCAGATGATTAGTAGCTCGACCAGCGGTAGCTTATTCCTGCATGTTTTGCCTGCGGAAGGGCGCGTTCGTTGTCTGCTGAGCTGGCTGAGGCAGGGGGCATGAAACTGTTGTTGCTGCTGTTCGGTGATGATGATGATGATGATGGGTCATGTTGTTTTCGCTGTTGTTGTTGATGATGCTGGTGGCATTGATGATCATGATGACGATGACGGTGAAGATGATGGCAGGGGCACTGGCACCAAACGATGATGGAACCGATGCGTGCGATCAGCACCGTGATTCTGATGATCATGGTGATGGCGATGATGACGGCGATGATGACGATGATGACGATGGTGATGGCGACTGTCACGACAATGGTGATGACGAGTAGGTGGGTCTCAAGAAAGCTAGTGGTGATAGCGGTGATGCTCGTCATGATGTGATGATGGCGGTGAGTCACGATGTGCATTCGGATGCTGCTTCGGTGGACATCATCGTGAGGATGCTGCCAGAGTGATGACGAGTGCAACGATGAGCATCGCGCTCACCGGTCCTTCCTTGCCTTGCCTTCATCACAGCTGTTGTGCTCGTCTCCTTTCTTCGTTTATTCAGGCCATAAGCCCCGAAGCCGCGAACTTTGTTGATGCTTCGAGCCTGGGGCAGGACTTCCTGACCTCCAGCCTCTGGGTCGAAAGCAAGGCTCTCCGACAAGGGCTATATATATATATATATATATATATATGTATATATATATACACATATACATATACACATACACACACACACACACATACATGCAGAGCGTGATACACTATTAAGTATTCTATATATATATATATATATGTGTGTATATATAAGTATACACGATACTCGACTAGGGATCAAAAGGGGTCTCGAGTCGAGGCGGCTCAGGGTCAGGTCTCTCAGTTCTCAAATCCCCCACTTCCATCAGCTCCCAGGGGATCCATCAGATTAGTACATTCGACGTATTGTTTGCAACTTTTATCTTAATTTTGTCGTATCTTTCCTGATCTTATCTCGTATTATACTCTATTACACAGTATGCAGTTGCCCGATGTATGTGGGATGTTGGTCGTTTTTGTCTTTGGATCCAATGGGGCTCCTCGAATAGCAGCAATGGCGGCAGCAGTGACGGCAGTGCACAGTGAGAAAGTTCTTGGTATCGACCAGCACAGCAACGCGGATTTACGATACAATGTAACATCTGTATACATATGTAAACGCACACACACATACATGCATGTACATACATATGTATGTATGTATGCATATATTTGTATTCATGTATAGGCTGTAAAGAGGTTTATGTGGGTATACACTAGTATACATTAGTATACACGATGATATACTATAGAACACTATATATTATGATGGACTATAACTCTTCCAGACTTGTGCAGTGTCCTGACCTCTTAGATGGGTGCTGAAAGCCCTGTTTCTTCCAGTTCACATCGCACTGAAGCTCACTAATATAGGGGCCTTAATGATTAGAATAGGGTTTTGCGGCACATTATACTCTAATTATATTACGGAACCCCCAAAACAGCGTAGGTAATTATGTAGGCCCCTATAGTAGAACTTCCGAGCACCATGCTCAGCGGTCTTAGATGCCATGGAATGCTAGTGTCCATTATCGAATATGACCCCAGGTAGTATTGCAGTATATCACATTTTAGAAACCCTAAGCCTTAAACCCATTACCGTGCATCATCAGCCCCCCCGAATCTTGAGGCGCTTCAAGAGCCTTTGTTGAGCCCAGAGCAGCAGCGCTGGCGCAAGAACTGGGGATACCGAGAAAAAACGTACCAGGCGCGGCCGCAAGTGTTGGAAGATTTAGGGTTTACTGTGTAGGGGTTTAGGGGCTAGCGGCTAGCGGTTTAGGGTTCAGGGTTTAGGGTTAGAATAGTAATGCAGGGGCCCAAGTACGGAGAACGCGATTTGCAGGGCATCTCATGATGAAGGTAAGATAGTGGTTCCACAGGAACAGCATGACTCTCGTTTGAAGACCCCATGTCATTCTATGGGGCACATCACCGCATGTTGCACGTTCAATGCATAAAGAGCACGGAGAAAGGAGATGATTAGATAACGGCCTTCCATGGATTACCGGGATGAGCAGAGTCAAAAGAAGTGATCCTGTTCTACAACCGCAGCTTCTTCCTGCTATGTCTGCAATATGTCTGCCGTGTCAAGGCGGCGTTTGCCAGAGCCAATATCTTCTGTTTGTGTTCTGAGGTATTCAGTATTGCAGTGTTCAAGTCTGTAGCATTTGCACTTTCGAGTGCCGACGGCCTTATCACAGCTGAGCGGGCTATGTTAGTCCTTCTAAGCGCTATCGGCATTGATACGGCTAGGAAAGTCATAGGGCAGGTGATTTCGGGAAGCATGGCCCGAGTCGTCACCGCAAAACTCGTAGCTATGGTGACAACGAACAGAAGGGGACAGCAGTCAGTGAATCCTGAACTCTCAACCCTAAGCTTGCCTCTTCGTGGATCGGCTGCAGCTTGGATGCGAGGCGGTGTCTTCGGCCGTCCGGCTGAGGTGGCGCAGTGCACTCAAAGTCTCCCTGCCGTTGCCTTACTTAAAGGATCATGGGACTTATTAACTAGGGTTATAACTAAGGTAACTGTACTTATGACTACTTATAACCCCAATGAAGGTACTTGTGACCTCATTTACTAAGTCCCATGATCCTCCAAGTATCACTCCGCTAGAGGCGACAGGGGAACTCGTGGTATCGTCATAGGAGGCTCTATGGGGGTTTAAGTAGGGATTAGGGTTCCCATAATGGGGTTCATATTAAGAAGTCCCTACCCCAAGAATCTTATACCCCCCTTTTGGCCTCCCATCATATCGGAAAGGGGTCTTTAGGAGGGAGATTTTCTCGGGACTCCGTCACAGTCATTTGCAGAAGTCGAACTTCCACTGTGGACCCACCCAGAATCCAGATTGCAAGAACGTGTGGCTTGCATCACAGCCGCCTTTGGCATGCACTGTATGGGCCTCAATAATACCTATACTAGTTTGGGGGTTCCTTATTGCAATTATAGTATCAGAAACCCCAAAACTCTAACTATCAAGGCCCCTTTATTACCAGTTGGCCCTTGGACCCTTCTTCGAGGTCCTACTTTCTCGCGTTGCTCCTGGACTTACACTACGGCCTGGACAGTAGGGAGCCCGGTGTCCGCAGAATGGGGCCGAGATGATTAGAAAAGGGGTTTTTGGGTACATTATACTATAATTATAATAAGGAAGCCCCAAAAGAGGACATGCCTACTGTGGACTAAGTCAAGTACATATCTCCGCATAAATGATCCCTACCAGCTTTAGCCGAATTTGCGGCATGCACCAAGACTCACGACGTGAGGCGCGCTGGTTTGTACCGTGAGCTACTTGTCCAGCTACGGTTCCCAGTATGCAGGGCCTTCCCTGCCTGTTGAAAGCAGTGTTGCTGTGGGGCCGTGAGTACAGTCGCGGGGCAGCTTGATCTCAAGAGCAGCCCGACAGAAGCAGGTCAAATCATCGATGCAGGTTTACTGGGTTCCTGTTCAGGAACTCAACCTGAGTTACCATACCAGGTAACCAGGGATCTATGGTAAATTGAATAAGATGGTTTTATATATTATATTATGGTAGCTTAACTTAAATCCCCTAACAAGAATCCTGTTCAGGGCGCAGAAGTCCTTCTGACGGCAGGAGCGTCCCTGCTTCCGGCAATCCCAACTCTGCCAGGGGCTCCTTGCGACGCGCCATCTCGCGTGGCGTCGGGGTCGCTGCAGGGGCCACGGTGCGGACCAAAGAACTTCACTGATTTACGATCATGATATAGGGGCCTTAATAATTAGAGTAGGGTTTTGGGGTTTTGGGGGTATGTGATACTATGATTGTCATAAGGAACCCTCCAACATGGTATCGGTAATTATGACAGCCGCTATATCAGATAACTTGGTTGGTGAGTAAGGTAATGGTTTGTTGTGCATGGCATCATGCTGTTCGCGAGTGTGAGAGCGATGATGAGGATGATGTCGATGTCAGTAACCAGAATCATTGGCGTCAGCATGTCACCATGGCGTCCATGACTTGCACTGCTACTTGCCTTGAGTTGACTTCGTTGTTGCGGCGGTTCTTGTGTATATCGTGATGTTCACTGAAGAACTGCTTCGCCGCCTACTGGTTGCTGCAAATCAGCAGTGCTTGATGGCTTTACTAGTATTTTGATGATTGAGGTGATACTGCAGGACGTGGCTCTCTCCGCGAGTGGGATTCCGAACGTCGAAGTTTCTGCGAGTGATCTTATGTAAGTACGATTGTTGCTACCTCTAGTGACTCTAGTTGGTAGCGAGAGATACAGCGATGGCAACTCATGTGTCCCTTTCAGTGCCAACGACAGCAATGACACCCACACTGGTTACCAGTACAGTAGCCGGCAGAGCACTGAAACCCTCTTCCGGACCCCGAAGGGCTCCAAGTGCTTGGCAGGTGGGAAGTGTTCTGCAGCACCTGTCCATCTCTGTCGCTGTATCCAAGCTCCGTGGTTACCATACGTTACATTCATAGAATGGGGCTTGAGATCATTATTGGCGTAGGGTTTCTTCCAGGCCTCCCCGAGGGCTTTGCAGCTGAGGCAGAGATTCGGACCAGGGCGGCTCAGGATATGTCTACATGTATCTTTTGTATATACATCATGCATGCATGCACACACCCCAAAACTTATCTTTCTACGGACTTATATACAGCAATCATATTAGGGAGCCTTAAAAAGGTAGGTCATTTGGGGTCCACGCGCATACAAAACCCTGTTCTAGGTACCCCAAAACGGACCCGAATTTTGACAACAACCCACATCTGCGAAAATTTTGCCAACTCAGGCTCACGCAGCTCTGGCTCCTCGCCCCGCTGGCGATTCACCTCCTCGTGCCTTCATTAGTCTTTGTTTGGAGGTTCATGGGTAGTTAGAAGGGTTCCTTTAAGGGGATCTATATCTATGTGTGTATATATATATATATATATATATATATATATATACGGGGTTGAGGGCCGAGGGTTTAGGGTTAGTAGGGAATGGAGGAATAGGGTAGAATTATAACTACTATTGCTACCATTCCTCCATTCCCTACTAACCAAAGGTAAGTTTAGTCTTTGTTTGGGCGAGAATCGGAGGGTTTGCAGGTTTAGGCCGTCGAGGTTGGCTAAGGCTATTAGTTCATTGCTGTCATATCAACCATATCACCAGTCTGCCTGTTATGGCAACTACGCCGTTTGGCGTTGTGAGATTCACTCCGTGAATACCAAGACTTGACTATCAGCATGGAGCTGTTCAGTGGTGCACATGTTCCAAGTTTTGAAGCCTTAAACACACTAAGCTCATCATAGCTCCAAGCCCTCAAAGGACGATCCCAAAACCTACGACTGCACCCTTCCTCCTGCAGAAGTGGCCCCCCAAGAATTTCCAGGTGACTCTTTGCTTTATCGGGTCCTGGACCTTCTGCTGCATGCTAGCCGCTTGGAGCTCGCTTAGAGCTAGTTTTAGAGCTGGAGTTGAGCTTTCTTCTTGTCGGAGGTTTAGAGGTTCAAGGTTTAGAGTTTCGGGTTTAAAGGTTGAGTTCGCTCCATCTGGCTCATGACGACTCTGCTTCCGCGACTACCCTTGCCCACATCCGAGGTCTACTTCCGAAAAGGTCCCTACGCCTATGTGCCGTGTCCGAACTCAGAAGATCAAGGGTCGCAAAGAATCGGGATGATGTTGGGTACGTAGTGTAAATGTAGTTGCCTAAATAATGTTTTTCCTCAAGGTTCCCAATTGTAATTTTACTGTATACTCTAATCGTTAAGGCCCCTATATTGCTTGCAAGGATGTTTCAGGATACCTCACAGGAGAGGATGATCCGCGAGAAGTTCGTCTAACGTGCAGCTGACGGTTTGGCACTGGGCCGCGGAGCCCGCAAAGCCGAAAGTCAAGCATCACAACAACAACCCTGAAACTGAAAAAGCCTTCTAGCACCCCCCTATAAACCCTGAGACATCAACTCTAAGCCGAAACATCTTTGCCGCTAGACCGGGTATATAATCGGGAAACCCAGAACCCCAAACCCATAGCCCCTAAAGCTCTAAACCATAAACCCCGAAACCCGGCGCCCTAAAACCTCTGCCTCATTGAGGCTCTCCATGCACTGGAAAAAGGTCCTCAAAAAAAAACCCTCAACCTTTCTTGGAGGATCATGGGACTTAGTAAGTAAGGTTATAAGTACCTTAGCTGGGGTTATGTTATAAGTATAGTTTACCTTAGTTATAACCCTAGTTACTAAGTCCCATGATCTTTTTAGTTGAACCCCAAGCATGACGGGTTCCGCTTCGGAGGTCGGCTTCGTTGCTGCCTTTACAGCCATCAAGTTCCTCTCCTGCCTGCCTGGTGAAAGCTTGCAGCTAACTGCGAACCTCGCCATGTGATAGAGAAGCCTCGATAATTCCAACATTGTTTGTGGGGGTTCCTTATTATCATTATGCAGGAGCCCAAAACCTTATTCTTATTATGGCCCCTGCATGACAGTTGCTTCTCATGCTGTTTGCGGCTTTTAGGCTTCCGGGTTTCAAGCTACTTATCCCTAAACCCCAAAACACTGTACCCGAAGCCCCTAAACCCTAAACCCTGAAAATGTATAGGACTCAAGTTCTGCAGAATGGGAATCCCATGAGGTTTTGATTGATTTCCACAGACACAGCAGGAGAGCTTCCCAACAGCGACACTCACTTTTGGGGGGCTATAGGGTTTGGGGCTTTGGGGGTTTAGGATTAGGGCTTTGGGGGTTTCGGGTTTCGGGTTTAGGGCTTAGGGTTTAGGGTTTAGGGTTTAGGTTTGGGGTTTAGGGTTTATGGTTGAGGGGTTTAGGGTTTGGGGGTTTAGGGTTTAGGGGTTTAGGGTTTAGGGAGGGAAGGAGAGGGCGCCTTTCTAGCAAGCCCCGGTTGTCCAAGGACGGTCGCGTCCACCATGTATGCTTGCATCTTTTCCGCAGTAGATCTGAGTTTTGGGGGTCGTGCAATGCCGGGCTTTGGTGTTCTAGGACGCAGCTACCGAGGATGAGGATGAGAGCATTTTCGCCGAAATTAAATGGTACACTTCTTGTACGTAGTGGTTCTCATGCCGAATTGACCACAAGTGAGGCCCAGATCACAGAAGACACCATGGCATGAGGAAGAGTGGCCGTAGATTTTGAATGAAAGCATGAAGTATAAGAAGCTCTGCATAGCAGCTTTCATGAAGAGCCCAATAGCATCAACCTGTCAAAGACCCAGCATAGAGCGACAAGGGGGGTGGGGGGGCTGAGTACCCAGAACAGGGTTTTGGCGGCATAGTCTATAATTGAGTATACCATGATATTTTAGTGTGTGGGTGTGTGTGTGTGTGTGTAAGGGGATCGATGGGCCCTGCCCAGGCCTGTTGGCGGTGATGGTGGAGACGTTGGGCTCCCAAGAAATTTCGAACAGAGAGGACACATGTGCACAGTGCAGGAAAGATGAGGATGTGTGTCGAAGCAGTAGTCCATTACTCTCGAAGAGCGACCCAACGACGGTACCCAAATCAAAATCAGGCCGGGTCGCGATCTTGAGGTGCATCCTGCCCATAGATGCTCGCGACTTGATGTGGCGACCTTACCAGCCGTAATGTAGGAACCTGATTAAGAAATTCTGGCCCTATAGCCCCCAATCTGTTAGGCTTCTTATAAGGAACCCTAATAAAGGCCCAAGGTTTCTTAATCAGGTTCCTACATTAGCATGCGGCCTTGCAATTGGCCCCGAGAGCCACGGATGCCTCAGGCAGGCGCGGGTCGCCTCCAGCCTTGTGGGACGCTCTGCCAGCAAAACCTGAAGGCCAAGAAAAGTTATGAGCCAGAATTGAAATCCAATTCTGAGTTTTGCATACTTACCCACCAAAAGGATCACCGCAAAGTTTCCATAGGTGAGTTATAGATTATAGAGTACATTACATAAAAATATATCAAATCTCTGAATCGACTATAAGGGATATTCTTGTCGTACTAATTGGTATAGTGTACCGCCGTATTCCTCAGAATACCCTAAACCCTAAACCCCTAAAGCCTAAACCCTCAGAATTCGATTCTGGTCAAGGAGTGGGCGTGGTGTTGCCGGCCCTGGTCACTGCGGATGAGGCACTCGTAGTGCCTAGAAGGTTTAGGGTTTGTATACCTGTAGCCGAAAAGACCTACCGTTTTAGGGTTCCTTATTATGGTTTCTATAGTTCCTTACAGAGGTAGGTCTTTTCGGCTACAGGTAGGGCTTGTAGACAACAGAGAGTCTCCGGAGGCTCTGGATTCAGGGTTGCGGTGAGTCGCCGAGAATCGGCAGTAGTTTCTAGATAGGTCTTATTTCCCAGCATCCGCGACGCTAGCACCCAACCTACGAGTCTACGGGCTTTAGGGCCTTTGGGGCAGTAGGGCCCTTTGGTTGTGGGGCTTCTGCGGGCTTCTGTGTGGGGTAGGCATCAGGCTTTGAATGTTATCATCAGGGAGAACTGGCGGATTCCTTTTGCAAATATGGGCACCGCTCCGGTGACCCAATGGCTCCATTCCATTGTCCGTCCAGAAACGGTGTCACCGAAAACCCTAAACCCCTAAACCCTAAACTCTGAATCCTCCGAAGAGGCGCGAACCACCTTGGTGAAGCAGACCATCGACAACGAAGGCTTACCAGACCTAACGGAGCGCTTGAAGGAAGTGGGCGCCTACGAGCGGCGGCTCTGACACGGTTTAGGGTTTTACGGTTCAGGGTTTGGGGATTAGGGGTTGCAGGGGTTAGGGTTTAGGGACAGTTTTGAAGGACTTCGGATGAAATTTCTACTTTCAAGTCGTCTTGTCAGGGCCTTGTATTGCATTCAAACATAATCTGATGCATTGTCTCAGCACGGTCTGGGTGATAGGCTATTTTCGAGCCACTTTGACAAGTATGTAGTACCCTGACAAGAGCCTTTTGTTGTCCATGGCTGGCCCATTGCCTCATGTTCGCTCAGTCCGCTCAGGTACTTGGAGTGGCGAGAGGGTGGCTTGGATTGCCCTGCGAGGGCTTAATCAAACTGGACTGGCTGCTAGATCAGAGACACAGGCACATCCCATCGCTGACCATCCCAAAGCCGAATCCTAAGGTTTCGTTCATTGTATGGGAAATCCAAGGCTACATGCGCTGGAGACAAGGTCTGCATTCTGGCGCCAAGGGCGAGGCCACATGTCGAAAAGGCTTACGCTTAAGGGAACAGTCGTCGTCCGTGGTGACCTGATGTACCTTGCGTACTTCTTCGTGTCGCCATGTAGAATGCTGATCACCTTTGCGAGAAGCAAGTCAATACTGTGCGCTAATGCAACATGCTGCTTCGCACGAGGAGTGCAGGACAGCTCCACGATCATCCTACTACCGGCGCTCGTGTGAACTTGTCAGACCGATCTACATCACATCAATAAGCAAAGAAGGAGCCCATGTCTTCACGTTGGTCCAAGTCTTGCCATAGCATCCTTAGCATCCCTTGCTTCTGCTGCATTCAGCAGACGCTTGAGCGAATCTAAACACCGCTTCCTTCCGGAACACGCTTAGGTCACCAAGAAGATCGAGGAAGCAACGCCCACTTCTGCACCCAGACGCTTGGCACGTGTTCCGTTCTCATGCGGGCCTGCGCAGTGTGCTTTTTTAGGGGGCTACTGTCTCACTTCTTCCGTTCCTCGAAGCAAGAGGGTCTCGAGCGGATCTGAGCATGGTGCAGACCCGCATAGTAGCAGGAGCACCAAGCACTGTCATTGCACCGTGATTTTGGAATCCAGCGGACTCAGCGTGCAGCTAAGAACGGGTGGTGACATCCTTCCGCCCGCGCGACCAGCCGGCTCTACCATCAGACCTGCACCCTCCTCCGCAGGTGAGAATGCGCTTATAAGGCATCCTGCATCATTCCCACGGTTGAAGATCGAACAGTCCAGCCAGAATGAGCCCTAAACCCAAAACGACTAAGCCGTGAGTGTGATGACCTATTTTTGCGCTTACGACTCCGAGGCACCCCTCTGCCGTCGATCTCACAGCGTCGGTGAACAGCCAAGTTGACGGCATCCAACTGACTGTAGAGCCGAGCGCCCGGGATCTGCAGAGCGTGGAGAATGTGCAGAATGTGCACGTCAGGGCTGTGGCAGAGACCCGGCTTGCGATAGAAACTCTGATGGTTTTCCATGAATTTGGAGGGCTAGGGCTACGGGGTCGCTGTACAGTAACCCAGGGTAGCAGCAGCAAGGACAGCAAGACGAAGATGTGCCAGTGTCTGTCTGGCTTTTAGAGCCATGGCCATCAATTGGTCATGACTATCACCGCTCCCACCGTCGTCACCATCCTCATCTTCATCATCATCAGCCGTATACAAGCCTCAACCCTAAACCCTAAGCCCTTTAACGCCAAAAATACCCTGAACCCCAAACCCCAAACCTGGCATTCCGACTCCTAGCAGGCGGGAGGAAAAGAGGGTTCAACAAGAAACGAAACCCGAAGCTCTGAGCCGCAGAGGGAAAAAGGGCGATCAACAACATATATAAAAGCCTCAGCATCGGAAGCTCAGAAAGCGCAAGCCCAAAACCCTAAGCCGCAAGCCTTATTAAGCCTTCCGAGCTCAGGAGATGCCTGGCTTGGCCGAGTTGCTCGCCAAAGCGAAGGGCGACGACGACCGGGAGCAGCGGGAGCAGCGGGAGCAGCGAGAACGCGACTGGGTTATGTAGGGTTTAGGGTTGATTTAGAGTTTAGGGTTTTAGATTTTTCGGGTTCCATGGGGTTTTGGTTTTTGGTTTACATTGAGCCTTAATCATCAGAATCGGATTTTGTGGTACGTATCATCATGTCAGTAAATAAAGGGGAGTTAAGAGAATACAGTGCCTGGAAAGTCACTCGTTGAGCCTTTTTGGGGACATTCTTGGTTTAGGGTTTGGGATTTCGGGCCCGAACTTTGCACTTTGGGGGTTTTCCGGGTTAGAGTCCGGGAAGTCTGCCTCATGCAGTAGACGTGTATCAAAGGGGAGAAGGAGGGACCCTTAATGGGAACCCCTATATACCTAGGGGCCCTTATTCAGGGTCCCTCCTTTTACCCTTGGAGTGTATCTACACGACAAGAAGCTCTGCATGAAAACCAGGAGGTGCAAAGCCGTGGATCTACCATTCAGAAGACGGGACCCGGAAACCCTAAACCCTAAACCCCTAAACCCCTGAACCCTAAACCCTAAACCCCTAAACCCTAAACCCTTAAAGCCCTAAAAATCCCAACGCCTTGCAGCGTTTGAGCCGTTGCAGTTGACTAAGGCGAAGAGCTGGATCTCGAGGATGGCTTGCCATTGCCGCGACGATTGCCCTCCAGTTTCTGAGTTGCAAAAGTAGTGTTTCGGAGGTTTGGGGCTTTGGATTTGGGTTTAAGGCTTCGGGGGGTTTAAGTGTAGGGTTTGGGGGTTTGGGTTTGAGCTTCAGGATTTAAGGCTTGTGGTCTACGACTTAGTAATTAGGAAGCGTAGTTACGTTGTAACTTGGGGTTTAGGGTCGGGGGTTTAGGCATCCCGCAGCTTTGCAGCCAAGAGCAGGCATGCATCCTAGAGCCCCAAACTTCGCATCCTCGAGCCCCTAACAGAACGGAAACTTCAACTTCGTGGCGATCTGCAGCCGCCGGAATGGACGACCCTAAAGCCTCTGTCCTAAAGCCCAAATCCTAAAGTCCTAAACCCCACCACTAGGACTTCCGTAGTATGTCGCACATGATTGGGCAGACCGAACAAGGTGCTGAAGAAAGAAAGCACCAAAACATTGAATCCTAAGTCCTAAATCGTAAACCTTACTAAATTCTAAACTCTAAACCGTAAGTCCTAAACCCCAAAACCCTAAATCCTAAGATGGAATCGGACGTCGCCATTCCCAGGTGACGATGAGCAGCGCATCTCCCTGACGGCCGTCCAGGAAGTCTCAAACTCAGACGTTCTCATTAACAACGATGCTATCACTATCATCACTATTATCAACATTGCGATTATTTCAGTATTACTACTATTCGCTGATTATATTGCTATTACTGTTTCTATTACCATTACTTTTCTTACTATTACTATTACTATTATAATGTTACTACTATTACTTACTATTAAAGCCAGTGTTATTATGTTTATTCTCATTCTTGTTCTTCTTCTTATAATATGATGATTATGAATATTATGGTTACCAGCCTTAATACTTTTTTCATGCAAAACTTCATCTGAGCCCATACGTCCGTGTCCACCTTTATGACGGTAGACCCTAAATCCAAAAGGCTGAACACGAAACCCTACCCAACGAGAATGGATAGTACAAGCTAAGCTCTCATGAAGGGAACCTGCCTTTCACATCGTCTAGATTCCGGTCCATTTTGAAGCACTTAGATTCCACGGATGCTGCACTTTACCACGGCATCTCTGCAACTGTTAACTCGCCCCCCTTGGTTCAGTGAGGTCCTGGTGGAGATTCGAGAGGCAAGCCACGGGAGAGAAAGCGTGAACCTTTCCCGATTATTGTAGTTAAAGTTGCGGCAGGGCTGTTACGGCTTCTGGGGTTTAGGGTATGTTTAGGGTCCACGGTCTCAGGCGTGACGGCACCTGCGTATATTTGCAATAGAGGCATGTGGATTTTGCATGCGAGCCTTGCTTCGTTGCTTGGATGCCTTCTCATTCCCAGTAAGCTTTAAGACAATCCCAAACCCCGAAACCCTAAACCCTAAACCCTATTTGGAAGCCCCAAGAAGCTTCATAAGTCCTCATGAGCATCACTAATTTGTCGGGGCCCAGAAAGAGGGGCCCATCAGGATTGCAGTGCATGATATTTCCTTGGCATCAACAAAGGTAGGCGGAGTTGTTGTAGTACCGGATGGCATCATCGTTGCGGCGTCAGAGACTTTAGGATCCCTCAATCCCCAAAACACCAGGACTTTAGGATCCCTCAATCTCCAAAACGCAAGGGAAAACGTACTATGCCTGCGTACGAAGTGAGCGGCCCGGAATCCCGTGCTCCAAGCTGCAGATGCCAGGACTCCAAAGTCTCAGCCTCCGCAAACCCTCAGCCCTGTATCCTAAGCCCTAAACTCTTAAACCCCGAGTTAAAAAAGGAAAAAGCCCTAAATCCCTCAGCCCTGCAGCCGAAGCCCGAAGCCCTAAGCCGTAAGACTGAGCCTTAAATCTGTTATCCTGAGCCCTAAGCCCCAAACCTTAAACCCTAAACCCTCAGCCCCAAACCCTAAACCCTAGACCCCTAAACCCTAAACCCTAAGCCGCAAACCCTAAACCCCAAACCCAAAACCCCAAACCCTGAACCCTAAACCCACCCAAAATCCCTAAAAGCATAAACCCGAGTTCCTACACAGGCTCTGGCGCCCGCAGAGGAGACCCTTGGACCTTCGTAGAGCTTGCTGTGAGGTTTAGGGTTTAAGGTTTAGGGTTTAGGGTTCAGGGTTTAGGGTTTAGGGGGATTACACATAATAAGGAATATACGATCATTCCCATAGCGTGGGGTCATTAAGCTAATGCAGGATTTGTAGCATCAACCGTTGTCTGTGTTGAAAGGGCACCTAGGGGTGTAATATCGGGGCCTCAATAATGACCACTACTTTTTGGGGGGCTCCTTTTCATAATGATAGTGCAGTGGATCCCAAAACCCTGTTCTAACTATCAGGCCACCTACGTTGGGTTCAGGGAGGGTTTAGGTGCAAACATCAAACTCAGTAACACCGACAAGAGCAACAAGAGGGTTCCATCCAGCACAGCAGGGAGCTGCATTCTTGTACGCCGGGGTGAGTTGCGAGTCCGAGGTATTACGACGCAGACTACGATAGAATCTTGAGTGCTTTACAGCCTTCGGAATGTGGATCGTCAGGGAAAGCTGCTGCCCCAATGCCAGCCGGTGTTCCATACTGCTGTAAACCTTCTACACTTCCCCCAACTACTGCTATGCTTTTGCGACTCCCACTGAATCTACGACCACGGCGAAAGAGGCGAGAGGCGACTACTGGGAGGAGCAGGGACGACGATCATAAATTGTGTGCAGGTTCAACATGTTTGCTGCAAAAATTAAGCAGGAGACAATGTTGAGCATGACAGGGGCTATAGTGGACATGACTGAAGACCATCATCACTGCAAGCGTCACTCGTGGCTAAGTGCACTCATCTTGGTCATATGCAACAGTCGTCGTGCAATGCATTTCTGGGGTCGCGATCTCGGTCAGCCCAGGCTGGTCGTGCAGGCTGCCGAGCGCTTGGACGGCCTGCCGCTGGCCTGCCGTTACTAAGACTATCACCGTCCGAGGCACTAGCTTACTCCCACCTTGGAGTCCTTAGGTGTTCATATGTACCTCCCTGGCGCCGCCTGCTGCGACAGCCACTGCCACTACCACTGCCACTACCGCTGCCGCTACCGCTTCTGCTTCCACTACCACTATTACTACCACTACCACTACCACTACCACTACTACTACTACTACTACTACTACTACTACTACTACTACTACTACTACTACTACTACTACTACTACTACTACTACTACTACTACTACTACTACTACTACTACTACTGCCACTACTACTACTACTACTACTACTACTACTACTACTACTACTACTACTACTACTACTACTACTACTACTGCCACTGCCACTGCCACTGCCACTGCCACTGCCACGGCCACGGCCACGGCCACGGCCACGGCCACTGCCACTGCCACTGCCACTGCCACGGGCACGGGCACGGCCACGGCCACGGCCACGGCCACGGCCACTGCCACTGCCACTGCCACGACGGCGGCGACGACGACTACTACTCGTCCCAACCAATCCTGCTCCTAGTGCTACTGCTGCTGCTGCTGCTGCTACTACTACTACTACTACTACTACTACTACTACCACTACCACCACCATGACGACTACGACGACCACTACTACCACTACCACTACCACTACCACTACCACTACCACTACCACTACCACTACCACTACCACTACCACTACCACTACTACTACTACTACTACTACTACTACTACTACTACTACTACTACTACTACTACTACTACTACTACTACTACTACTACTGCTACCACTCGTCCCAACCGATCCTGCCCTTACTACGACTGCGACGGCGACGGACAGGTGCATCAATGCCAGTGTGTGTGTGTGTGTGTGTGTGACAGTTGCAGCTACATCTACATACATAATGCATACATAAGCAGACAGATGGGTCCACATACCTACATACCTACCTACCTACATACTTACTTACATATGCACCCACATATATACGAATGTATACACATACCTACATACCTACATGCATACATGCATACATACATACATACATTCATGAAGTACACACCCATACATTCATGCGTACGTATATATATATATATATATATATAGATATGTACATACGTAAATACATGTATGCTTACATGCATGCATACATACATACGCAGACACACACACACATACACACGCGCTCACACGCACATAGGTACAAACGTACATACTTGCATGCATACATACGTGCGTGTGCAAAACACATGTACCGTACGAACAGACTTAGATCAAAAGACACATGTTGCATTATATGTACAGATATACAGAAACAAACATCTACATATCTGTATGTTTGTAGCTTGTTTGTACATCATGCTCACAAGTGGTCCGTTTTGGCGACGGTACAGACGATACTCGCGGCAAGCTCACTCAACGTAGCTGTGATGTCGATTCTTTGCCAGCATGATGCATGTCAGTGGAGAGCTCATCAGAACCACTGACCGCTGCCAGCAAACATCTTAGGCGGATCAATAGCAGCGCGTGGTGTTCTCTGGCCGACCGGCTTGCAATTGCCCCTTGCCGAGATGTACAGGGCGTTCACATCGAAGTTCATGACATGGAGCAAGGCGTGCAGGCTTTGCTCTTAGTGACATCGCGTAGCACGTACGCGCACAGCAGACACGAAGACATTGGGGGTTCTGTGCGTTTAGACAGATGTTCGAAGCCACCCGGATACAGCAGACGATCCCGAGGGCTTGACACAAGGGTTATTTGAGGCTAAAGTATTCGAGGGTTACTACAAGGGTTACAGTACGCGTTGCTTCAAGGGGTATCGTAAGGGTTGCTATACAGGTTTGATTCGGGGTTATGAAACGGGAACCACAAGTAGTTCTTGGACGGCGGCATCGCAGGCCACGCAGGAGCGGAGGGATTAACTAACGACACGACGTCCTGCAAATTAGCCAGACTGACGGCAGGGCGCCTGGCCTGCATCTCTGGAAAGCAAACGATCGACATGCAATGAACTGCACAAAGGGATGCCAGTCTTGGCAGCAGACTGGCGATGTTCGCGTTACCCGTCTTCACATGACATACAGAGCGGTATAGGCAAGCTGGCATCAAGTTCTTTTCCCATTGTCCTCCTTGCACTAAGAGATAGCTTTCGAAAACGATGAGCTCAAACACCATGCCCCCGCCGGCACAGAGCGTGCGTGCATCATAGGAACGTGGGTCTTGTTTGATGTTGCACTTCTGGTTGGTTCGATGGAACCGCCGAACAGACTGTGGGAGCTCAATATCTTGCCCAACTGCCAAGCACCGATCTCTTGCAAGTTGGTTATGCAAAGTTGCTCGTTGTTCCTCCTGGATGAACCCGAGATGCGTCTTTGGCTCTCGTTCTTGGGCCGCATCGCCTGGGTCTCAGGCAGCACGTCAGAGCCATTGCAGCAAGGGGCAACGAGCAAGTGTTTTGCAGTAGGGTTTGAGAACGAGAGGTATCTAGTGCATGCTGCTTGCTGACATGACGGAAGAACGGAGGAGGCTGGTACTTGAGACTTCAGACCGTGGCTGGCAAGGCAAGGAGGAAAAGCTTGATTGCTGACATCTATTCAGACTTAGGCTGCCCGCCAGTGCATTTTTCACAATCTACGCGGCAGGCATGCGTGCACACACATACATATGTCGTATTCTGTATGTATGTATGTATGTATGTATGTATGTATGCATGTGTGTATGTATGTATGTAGGGCTCAGAACACCCGTGCGGGATAGCTGCTGCCCCAGGCGACAAGAGTTCGCCGCCGCTCCTTTTATAGGACCGAGCCATAGGACTCCATCCGCGATCGCCGGGTTGGCACCGGCATTTGCGCGCTCGGCGGAGCAAGGCCAAGCGCAGAATAAGGTGGGCCCAGGCTCGTGGGACTCCACCTTGCGATCGAGATCGCCGATTGCTTGCTCAACACCACGGGCATTCAATGGGAGGCAAAAAATGGCAGGACAACGAGACCGACTACTACGGCAAGGGTGGTGGAAAAGGGGGAAACCCCAAGTATTGGCGTGGCTCTTATCATGCGTACTCGCCGCACAAGCCCAGGCCGGCGTTTCCAGCATACGACCACCGCCGTGCAGATGTCGAGGACCCGACACCCGGACCAGCTGGATCAGCCATTGGCGAGGCCACCAACTACGTGCAGCTGATTCAGGCCAGTGTCAACACCACCAGGAAAGCAGAGAACAGAGTGCTCAATCTGGAAAAGCAGATCAAAGAACGGAAGGCGCAATGGGTTGCATACCAGGAGGACATGAAGCAAGCCTGGATAAAAGAATGCACCCGGCACACCCGAGATGTGGCCAGGCTCGAAGACGATCTGCAACAGGCCAGAAAGGCCCAAGAGACTGCTCGGGCCGATCTTCGATCGGTCCATATCGCAGTGGCACAAGGCCACCCGATGGACAGGGAGACCATGACGGCCCAGCAGAACTGGGACGACATGCTTGCAGACTGGAGACACGAAGGAGCTGCTGCAACCCCGGAGGCGATCCTGCAGCGAGCGATGTCAGCAGCCCCTCTACAAGAAATGAGGGCCCCAGTGCCATCAGGTCCGGTGCCGAACTTCGGACCTCCACCGGGTTTCATGGAACTGCCACCGGAGATGCCGAGGTCGCACATAAGCCCTGCGCCCATGGATACAGATGGTTTCGACGCAGCGCTGAGAGCCAGTGTGTCAGCAGGACCAGGGGCAGCAGATACTGGAACCCCATTGGGAGTGACAGGCCCACCACCGCCGCCGCCGACAGAGGGCTATCTACGCTTTGCGGCCAACGACCCCTACATGCTGTCACCGAGCCACACCACCCTCAAGGCACCTGCGGCGCAACACTCTCCCAGTGCACGTGTTGGCCCATATGGGTCCGCCTTGTATCCGACGCGAGAACCTCCGGAGAACGCGGCCATCCCGACGACAGCTGGAGAAGATCCCTTGCAGGAGATGCTCGCTCAGCGCCGCGCGATGACTCCGTTCCGTACTGGAGTGGGGACACTTTCCCAGATCGACCCCACCAAGAAGCCGATCCCCACCCTGGTCGAAGACGACGACGAGCTGGCAGGACAAACGGAGGCCAGCACGGCGTCGGGAGTTTGAGCCGCGACAGTCGAAGTAAGAGGCATGTCCATGCCACGGGCGTGAAGTCGCGATGTCGCCTCGAGAGCCCGGGATCTGTTGAGTTGAGCTGGGGCTCAATTCACAGAACCCAGCTGCTCTGTGGGCAAGACTGCGATTTTGCTGACCGGCCGGCATGGAATGCCCTAGCTTCACAAGTGAGAGCTGTACAGGAACCGAGTAGCTGTACAAAAGTTTTGCCCCTCCCAGATGGGAGACTGGCTCCCTGGCCACCTCGATGCAGCAGTGACTCTGACCTCGCTGGGCTTGGCGGTTGGCTCAGAGTCCAGTTGCCTTCTCCTCGCGGGAACTGTCTCTTCACTGGGTTTGTGTCGAGGCAGCTGCCCCCACGCCACAGCCTCTTGAAGGCCTCACTGTCGCGCATCCAGCATTCTGCCAATACCGCGCTGGACAATTTTGCCTTTGGAATCTCGTGTTTCGAGCGCAAAAGAATCACATCGGTTGCTCTGGGGTGATCGCCGAAGCCGAATTCCATGTCGAGTTTTATGGCCAATGCTGGCTAAGCATTTGCGTCTTGCTTGTGCCTGCCGGACAGACCAAGACTGAGGGCCTACATATGAGCTCCCCCGACCTCGGTCATCTTCCCCAGCTCTTGGGTTTAGGCCCCCTAATCCCCGAGGTTTGGAAGGAGCCCGTCAGCCCTTTCTTCGGGACACTCTGCAGCTGGGCAGCTGGCACGATCTGCCCGTTCTTTCTGCACTTGGCGTTCCTAACATTGTGTGCCCTTTTGCGCTTGTTGAGTCGACCGATGTGCAAAAGACAAGCGTTCACAGCCAAATGCCTAGCGTTGCCGGCTTGTGGGCTGCCATCTGATTTCCTGAAGCCTGTAGTGGCTTTCTCGATTGCACAACTTGGCTCTCAACCAGCATGGTGCCGAGGCCTGTCCCGATCCCCTCCACGCAAGCCTCAACGTCGATGTCTTCCGCGACGGCCAACTTCACTTGGCAGTTGTCTTCTGCGCGGCATGTGGAGTGCACTTTTGATGCAGGTGCCGCGGCAGGTCTGGGCAGCTCCCCAGCACTTGCAAGACACTGTGCATACAGCACAAAGGCTTGTCGATCAAGTGCCAGAAATGCTTCCGGATAACCCGAGCCATAGTGCTCGGGGTAATTTTGGTGATGCTGACCCCGATGCCCGCCTGCACTCTCTCATGCAAGTACAGAACCACGACCTCAGCAGGCCTCTGGAAAATACAAATGATATTCCAGTGCCACCCCTGCATTCCCCCCCTGAAGTCGGCCATTTAGCAGCGCCTGCCTTTGAAGGAATCTGCTATGTCCTTGCACCCAGGTATCAGGCTGAGGTACTTCGGCTCACCCTCCGAATTCCCCTTGACTTGCCTGCCTTCCACAATGCAGTAAGGGACAAAATCAGTAGGCTGCAGCTCCCCTTCTGCTTTGTTACGGCACCCACTGTCCCGCAACTTGCAGTCGATTTTGCCTCTGTCATAGTCGCGCCCAAATGGCTGCCACAGGCCAGTAAGCAGCTAGTCGTCTACGACTTGCGAGCATTGGGCGGGCCAGTCTATGCAGATATTGTGCATGAAAGGCTCTCACACTTCGAATGCCAGCGAGAAGCTGCCTTCCATGGGTTTGCTGACTGTACTATTTATGTACAAGGCAGCTCCAGAGCCTTCGAAGCAGGGGACACTTTCCTGGCTACCCTCGGGAGTGTAATTCAATTCCAACCACGGGACACCCCAGCCACATGGTGTGGCACACTCACCGAGAGGTTTGACAGGCCGCAGTGGTGGCTCACAGAGCCTGCGATCCCACACCCTCCCGGGGATCGGCCCGTGCTGACTCTGTATCATGAACGTGCTGTTCTATACAGTGCTGCCCGTTGTCCTGGTAAGCCTACCCTGCGCTATCTCGCAGATCTGGTTGAGCGTACGCCGGATAGCACTTTATTTGTGACACCTCCAGGAAGTAAGCTTAGTGATGTCGTCTTCCGAGGGGTCGCCTGCAGAGCCACCCTAGCCGTCTTCCCCCTGACACCCACAGATGAACGGGAAGGAATCCTGGTGTTTCTAGATCCGAGGCAGGCTGGCCTAGACCCTTGCCACATCTACTTGGCATCCGCCGTAGTTGACCCACATGTGTTGGTTCGCTACTTGCAGCTGCGAGCACCCCCGTGCTACAGGGTTGCGATTCTCCCACGCCCTGATAGGGTAGGGGTTCTTCGACTCACGGAAGGTGCCACTGTTACCTTTGGGTATAAACCAGATCATCCTTGGAGCACCGACGAAGAAAGTTCATCAGATGCTAGCGAGTCCGGGGAGGAATCCAACCCCAGCTCTGACGACGCCATCCCTGATGCTGTGCTTGACCCTAGCAGGCCACCAGCAGGGCCGCCCCCGCCAATCCCAGTTCGATACTCTCCAGCCTCATCCTTCCAAGGTGGAAGCTCAGGTGAACGCTCCCGCTCCAGGTCTGCTTCCCGAACTGCAGCTAGGCCGACAACAGCCGGTTCAAGCCAAGCGTTCGTGGGTACAGCTTTAGGTGTTGCCTTGGGCCTTACGCAACCTGAGGGAGCCAGGGGCGCCCTCACAACAACCATAACTGCGACCGGCAGTCTACCTTGCACATGGACTAGCAGCCTTCTATGGTGCCTTGCTATTCTCCTGCTTGGTGGAATCGCAGCACATATTGTGCTGACCAGGGGCAGAGCAGCCCTCCAGGCGTATTGTGCACCCCACCAGCACAAACTCCTGCGAGAACCACACTGCAGCACTCGTCGTGAATCTCGGAGCCTCACTCTTTTGCGAAATGTAACTAGGAGAATGGGAGGCCTATGGCACACTGATCCACCATTCCGTTTTCCTGGTATGTTGCATGTGCAATTCGACGAGGACCTAACCTCCGATTCTGATCAGGACGAAGCTGTGATGCTGATCTCGTGCGCCGTATTACGCCTCGATTATCCTACAACCTACCATGATATTCATGTCCCTGTCCCGGCTACGTCTGAGGAAGTTGTAGATGCAGTTCAGGCTCTCAGGCAGGGAACGGCCTTTGCAGATTTCCCTTGCCTTCTGTCTGTTTTGCCGCAACCCTCAGTTGGTGTTGCCGCATTCATCGCTCACCCCGGGTGGCACCATGGCGCTGATCTAGTTTGCCTTGATACAGCTGCTGTGGATGGACGGATTTTTGTTACCCAGGCCCCGCCTTATGCAAGCAAAGCCGAGCTGATCGCCCTTGCCGGCCTACTTCCAGGTGTCGACTTTCTCGT